CCAGCCATTCTGCACGTTCAAATGCACTGGGGCAGGGGGGAGCGATTCACACTGGTGCTCTCCCTCCTGATTCAGAGACTAAATCAGCCTCAGAGAAATTACAAAAACAGATTCACTCTTTTCCCGGGCACGTCTAGCTGAAATTGACGTGACCACTGTTTATTTTGTAGTCAAAGAGGAATTCTAGAATATCACCATCAAGTAGTCTACCCATAAGATCAGGTCTGCCCAGAAGATTCCTTTCCAGATCTAAGAAAACCCATGAGCAAAAGTCAGCTTCATTTTTCTATACCATGGGCCAGATGCAAAAATGTATATCTTAGGATGCTTTATGTGATAGATTTCCAAAGATGAGACTCCTCAGAATTATTTCCCTAGAGTTTCCAAGGTGAGAAAGCCATGCTATTCTTGTTAACGTATGCTTTGCCCAACATAAAGCACTTGCAGCCAATTTCTGTCCAGTTAGTAGTTTGCACTAACCAGTTTTCAAGAGGAAATACTGCTATAAAATCTGAATTAAAGATACTAAGGGCAGTACCATCCCAGATCTCCCCACCATTCAATGGGGCAGTTGTAATCAGATCTTCACACCATTCCCTAGACACCTGAGGTTCCCAGGGGCACAGGCCTTACCTGCCCTTCATCTGCTCCATCTTCCACTCCATGCACCTGCAGCCGGGGTGATGCTCTGAGGATAGCAAATCCTCTATAAACAACACAAATCTCCTGTTAGTAAATGGGGCCTTTCTTAAAACTGCACAATATGCATTGCTTAGATTCCCCAAACGAACTTGTGATTCAATGTCCGTGCCACATGGAAACATCTGGGGTGAGAGGTAGCAAGGTGGTGATAGATGCTGGTGGTGGAGGAGGCGTCTGCCATGCTCCCCAGAGTGCAGCCTGGCAGACCCTCTCTTGCAAGGGGCTTAGCAAGGGTGAGCATTCATTCTCGGGGAAGGTGTTCAGGTACACCAGGATAGATGCAGCGGAGCTGGGGGGCACCGCATACAAATGAGGATGCTCAGGTGCTCGATGGGTCAGAGGGACGGCTTGGTGAAAGTGTTTACCTTGGACTGTTCTCTTCTGAGAGCATTTAGACAACGTTGGAACCGGAGAGGTGAGCTCTGTCTTGTCCTCCTTCAGCTAAAGATGAAACTCAAGGCTGGGTGTCGACGAGACCTCGCTGGTACACGTAAGGCTAAGATTCTCAGGAACATCCACGTCACACACATCTTCATATAACTAGGGCCTGCTGTGCCCTTGGCGTTGCTTCCTGTTTGTTCAAATTCAAAACTCTCCAGCTACCAAACACTCAGCGCTTTCAGACCAATTTTACATGATGATACCTCCAGCCCAAGTCCCCGGCATGAAAGATCAGACAGAAAAGACACCAACTTGACAGCCTACGGCCCAACTCACTGGCTGACGGGCTATATGTGTGTCTGTGACCTGCACCTGCCGGCGTCAGTCATGTGAGAAGGCCCTGAGTGGGGGAAAATCCTCTGAACCTCAACACACATGCGCTAACACCCCTGAGATCCCAGCCAACACCCGGGAGAAGAACACAAAGGTAACACCCTCCCTAAAGAAAGATGGATTCCTTCTACAGGGTTTTGGACTAAGAGGATTTTGTGAATGCTCCCGGAGAATTTTCAAAACACTCTCTGAAGCAGCAATTCACATTTGTGTTTGCAAAGTGCGATGCTGCATGCAGGCTGTGCTGCATGTGGCCATGTGCATCAGTTCAGGTTAGACGGGGTGTGGTGGGCAGTCAGTATATTTTAAGCTACTTTTCAAGAGCTACTTTTAGGAAACAATTCAGGGAATCTGTCCTCTGCTGAGTCTGGAGACCAAGGCCCCTTTAGGAAGTGATTTTGTTCCAGGGAATCTATTTGTTCCTCAGGTTACGTCTGTGCTCCCCACCCAGAGGCTGGTTCCAGAGAAGCAAAGGCTGTCAGGGCCACCATCATCATAACCTCTGGATGTCCTGCCTCTGGAAACTCACTGTGGGGCCCATGATCTCTGTGCTAAATATAAGCTGAGCAATGAGAACAGCATTCCCTCTTTGCCAGGCCCCGACCTGTCAAAACTGTCCTGCTTCTCACAGCCACCCTTGAGGTGGATATTATTTGGGCAGCCTCTTACTAGGTGTGCAAATCAAGGCCAACCTTACACAGCTGAACAGTGGAGAGCTGGGCTCTCCAGCCATCTCCTCGACAGAGTGGGCAATGATTCAAGTGAATGAGTCACCAAGCCACCAAGACCATGGTGTTACAGGGGCAAAAGGATTTTAATAGCCACCAAGGCACTAGGTACACAAAAAAAGGCAACTTCACTGGGTAGTTTTAAAAGTTATATTTTAGTAAAAATATCAGTAATCCATGCCCAATGTTTTTGGAAGGACCACAATAAATTTAAACTCGGATGCCAGGAATAGCATGAAAATAAACCTATCCTGAAAAAGACACATGATACAGCTGTTAGAGCCTCCAAAACATATCTGGATATAATTTTTGAGTTATATCCAAAAATAAGTGAGGATTACTTGCTTATAAAAAAAAATAGATTATTTTTTGTATGGGGTCGGGGGGAGGGATTGATCCCAGGGGTGCTTAACCACTGAGCCACATCCCAGCCCATTTTATATTTCAATTAAAGACAGGGTCTTGCTACATTGTCCGGGGCTTTACTAAGTTGTTGAGGCTGACTTTGAACTGGTGATCCTCCTGCCTCAGCCTGCAGAGCCACTGGGATTACAGGAGTGTGCCACTGTGCCTGGCTAAGAAGGTATGGCCTTTGGAAATAAGTTTTCCTAGTGCCTCTATAATTTGATCATGACATTAGATTTCCCTTCAACCCTCCTGGAATATCTTTAGTATTAAAGTTGAACCACAGGTATGGTTTTTTTTTTTAATTAGTTGTTGATAGACCTTTATTTTATTTATTTGTATGTGGTGCAGAGAATTGAACCCAGTGCTTCACGCATGCTAGGCAAGCATGCTACCACTGAGCCACAACCCTAACCCCCACAGGCATGTTTTAACACTTAGTTACCACTGAGACCTTAAAAGCTCCACACTGCGTCACATCTACAAAACATTGGTGGAGTATTGTTTTTATGAATGCAAAGGGCTTCCTTCTGATGCTGATATGTCAATTTGTTTCCTTTGGGTGGTCTCTAGCAATTAACTACAGTAAGGAATATGTCATATAAAGATAACCATTGCAGGGACAAGCAAATATGTCTTTTTCAGAAAGTCTAATAAAACCCAAGGAAATCCGGTGCATTCAGAATTCCAAACCATGTTTCTGAAGTCCAAGAATAGTTCTCCACTTGCCTATTATGTTGCTTCTGTTTTTTACAGATCTAAATGGAACAGGGATAAGGAAAGAAATCCAATCTACAAATCCACCACTGTCTGTTCCACTTGCTTTCTTCTACAATATTATTATCACTTCTATCCATTTGGATTCTAATCCAGAGATCCCCAAGAATCTAATCCCCACCAAAGGGAAAACTGGAATCATTCATTTATTCCCCCAAATCAGCCCATCACTATCCCCAAGCATAACTTGGCCTCTTAGATGTCCTCAATCATTTGTGTGTATATGTTTCTCCCCAACACCGGGAGGCTAGGCAAAGCAGACAGCTTGTGTTGTCCAGCATGAGGTGCATAAACAGGAAACACTAAATCTCATGAATACATCAGAAGAATTAAAATGGCATGAAATCATCTCAGAAATTCTAGCATCTATAATGAAGGGAATTCAGTAGAAATGGTCAACAGTACTCTCCCAGTCGACTGTCAGGCCTTTAAAAACTGTGCAGGGGAATGTACACAGTGCTGCCCAATTCTCATATTACACAACAGAGGCAAAGTTCTCTGCCTCCTTCCAGGTACTGTGTGCCTTTCCATGAGTAGGGTGAATGAATGATTTAACAAGGAAACACTTTTACCTTTCTTTCAAATGCTTTTGATTCAAAATGCCATTCCTTTGCCTTTGAAAGATTTGTGAACCATTCTCTGCAAATATGTACAGATTCCTTCTTCAGTGTAGGTAACTGATACTAGTACATTCCCACCATGTGACTTGAGTTGTCTGAGAGAGAAGGGCAGCACCAACTCTTAACCATGAACTTCTTCAGTGAGGAAAAAGTATTCTTATAGCACTTAAAACAGAAGTGAGGTGTGTACATTACTTAACAGCTAATAACAATAACTTATTTCAAATTTCAAACTTTAGACTTCGGATGGCTCACTGAAAGATATATAACATAGCGAATCGAATGAAGCAATCAGGAAGCATTTTCTGAGGTCACTATTTAGATTAAGCAGTTCCACAAGTTCCGTACAACATAAATTCTTTGGCCATAGAAATGGGGTCATTTCATAAATAGTTGTAAATCTCTACAAGGTGACTTGAAATTGGCATTTTTCTAACAGTATAGGCTCTACCAGGAACAATACAAGGCCATGAAATTTCATAAAAATAATGCTTAAATACTCGTCCTCAAGTAGTTTAAAATCTAAGTGATGGTATAGAATATATAAATAATATTCAAAATCACTGACACCTTACAGAATTGGTCCACTTCCTAAATGACTTACTTCCATGCATGGTTCTCCTTCTAGTTCAATGCAATTTCTTCTCTCTGTGTACTGTTGGAGATTGCCCCTTGACCTCTTGATTTTATTTTATTTTTTAAAGAACACAGTTCAGTAAATTTTAAAATGTCAATCTTATCTCAGAGTTTTTTCTGTTAAAGAAACAAACATGTCGCTCCATCTATCTACAGCTTAATTATGAAAATTAAGCCTGGGAAAGGCAGCGTGTCCTTTGTGGTGTGTCATAGACATGGAGAAGCACACTAAGGTCTTGAGATACCATGAGACACCCCAAAGGGCAGTCTTTCCTTCCCAGAGTTTCTAGGCTGTAAACCTCAGAGATGTTTCCTTTCTGAGGTCAAAGTGCAGGAGTCCACTTTCAAGGGGGCTTACCTGGTAATTTGTGTCCTGGTGCTGAAGTCGAGAGACCTCATGGAGCGTAGAACTTCAATGCACCCCAAGTACTGCAAAAGGAAGAAACACACATCATGAGTTCTGGGAACTGAGAGGCAGAGATGATTTCTAACGACAACAAGGGAGTTTTTTGGAAGCAATACGCATTTCTTAAATCACATTTTAACTCAAAATTCTGTGGCAAGACTTTGTTCTGTTTCTATGAAAGCAAACATTTAAACCCATAGGAAAGCATCCTAATACTTACATTGGCACAAAATATGATTTTCTAAAACCTATTAGTATTGTCATTTTATTTAGATGCACATTCTTCAAAGCTTTTATTGGGGTATAACTTTCACACTATAAAAGGCAGACATCTTAAATGTTAGCTCAACATTATTTAAATACATATTTGCCGTGAAACTGCAAATCAGACCCTATAGTTCTAGTTCTTTTCAAAACTTTAGGGTAAATTTAATTTTTTAAGAAATTTTATTGGAGCACGATATGTATAACATAAGTGGAATTCATTGTGGCTATTCGTACATACAATATAACAATCTGGTCATTTCATGCCCCAAATCTCCCCCTCCCCAGATCTCCTTCATCTACTCATCAATTTTCATGAAATCATTTTTCATTCTATTTTCATGAAATCTTTTCTTCTTCTTTTTTCCTCTAGCTTTCACATGTGAGAGAAAATAAATGACCCTTGACTTTCTGAGTCTGGCTTATTTCACTTAGCGTGATGTTCTTCAGTGCCATCCGTTTTTCCTGCAAATAGCACAATTTGTTTTTCTTTATGAACAAATTAAACTCCATTGTGTACATAAACCACATCTTCTTTATAATTCATCTATGGATGAACACCTAGGATGGTTCCATAATTTGGCTATTGTGAATGGTGCTGCTATAAACATGGGTATGCAAGAATCTCTACAATGTGTTGAATTTAATCCTTTTGAATAAATACTAAGGAGTGGTATAGCTGGATAATGTTATGGTTCCACGCCTAGTCTTTTGAGGAACAACCATACTGACTTTCAGAGCCATTGTACTAATTTACATTTCCACCAACAGTGTATAAAAATTCTCTTCCTCACAGCCTTTCAGCATTTATTGTTATTTATATTCCTAGAAGTTTATAAAAAATTTTAAAAAAGAATGAAAACACTATATAAACCAACACTTTCATTAACATTGAACTTCATTTTCTAATAAATATATTTTAGGGGTCTATGAATAAACTAAAAGTGGCATTTAGTTTACCAGAAAACCCTCTTCTGCATTATTCACCATAAAATTTTCAGAAATTCAAATTTATCCATCTCAATGTATAGCTAAATTTTGATCTGTTTCACACATGAAAATGTATGGATGGATACAGGGACATAACAAAAATTCTGGATAAAAAATAGATACAATTTTTATGTTCTTAAGACCTTGAGGAGTTCCAAGGTGCAGATGATATAGACAAATGTTTTTAAATTTAGTTACTTTAGACAAATGCCTTTAGGTGTAGATTTTATGAAAAATCCTCATGGTATGGTACATAAAAGACTGTATTTGAATTATTCCAAAAACCTGAGTTTGGACTTGGCTTTGTCATATCTTGTTATGTAAGTTTAAGCAAAACTTTACACTTCTCAGAGCTTAAACCTCTAAAACCCCATAAATGGGATGGTTCCTCCTGCCACTGCATGATCACCGATATCACAAAGCTATTGAAATACCACCTTTACCATCCCAGTTATGTGAATTTCACAAAGATATATGAATTAGACTATCACTGACACTGCAGAGTTATGTGACTGTTACAACTGACAGCATCAGTTCCTGTGAATAACAGGGCCGATGTTACAGTTATATGACAACCTCCACACTCAGAGTCACAGAATTATACAAATACCACACGCACACTGCAGAGTTATGTGAAAATACCACAGCCAGCCACACAGAGCTATGTGAATGCCTGCATATCAATGTCCTATGTGACGAAATACCACAACCACCCTCCCAGGGTCACGTTAATACCACAACCCAAACTCCAGGACTGTGAGATGACACTCTACCCCAAAAATATGCAGGAGAGCCCCACCACCATTGTAGAATGATGTAAATATGATATCAACGTCAAAGTTATGTGGAAATGATGAACAACAATGCAGTTACGTAGTTGTATTTGTTACATTCATTACAAAGTTCTATGAAGACGTTCCCCAACACAGGTGTGTATTGACATGAATAACACGACCAAATCTGAGTTACAGAAGTACTATATCTACCATCATAATATTACATGAACACCATAACTGATGTTGCAGTGTATGATCCACCTTTCCATAGATGCACATTACTTATTTCTTTTTTCTTTATGATGGTAGAATATCGTTTCAACATAGCTTTTACACCACTGTGACCATTAAGACCTGACAACAATATAAGAAGAGGCAAAGCTTATTTGGAGCTCACAGTTTTAGAGGTCTCAGTTCATAGATGTCCACTCCATTGCTCTGGACCCAAGGTGAGGTAAAACATCATGGCAGATGGGTGTGGCAGCTCAGAACATGGTATCAGGAAGCCAAGAGAGACAGTTCCATTATCTGGGGACAAAACATGCATCCCAAAGGCACACCCACAATGACCCACTTCCTTCAGCCACCACCTACCTGCCTACAATTACCACCCAGTTAATCCCTATCAGAGGATTAATGTACCTTAGGTTAAGGCTCTCATCAATCCTCTTACCTCTAAACTTTCTTGCAGTGTTTCACACGTGAGCTTTTGGGGCAAACCTCATATCTAAACTGTAACATTCTGCCCCTGACTCCCGAAGCTCATAGCCATCTCACAAAGCTGAATACATTAGTCCATTTCCAAAAGTCCCCAAAGTCTGAACAGTTTTAGCATTGCTCAAAAGTCCAAGTCCAAAGCCTCCTCTGAGACTCAAGGCAAACTCTCAGCATGAGCCCCTGTAAAAATCAAAAGCAAATGACATATATCCAATATATAAAGGCACAGAGTAAACATTTCCACTCTGAAATGGAGAAATGAGGACATAGAAAGAAGGGACGGGATCAAAGTAAGACCAAAATCCAGCTGGTCAAACAAGTTCTGTGACTCCTTGGCCAGCATCTGAGCACACAGCACCAGGATGTGCTTTCCAAAGGGCTTGTGTAGCTTCATCCCTACGGCTTGGCTGGTTGCAGCCTAAACGGTCTCTCTGATGGCTTGTCTCTGCTCCATTCCTGCCGCTTTCTTTGGCAGATGTTCCATGGTACTGACGTTTCTCAATCTTGCGGGGAGGCAGGTCCCTCCATTGTAGCTTCAGTATTCTTCTGCATGCATTGCCCTCTCAGAGGCAGCCTGCAGGGACTCTGACCCTGCTGCACTTTGCCTGGCCTCCCCAGCCTTCCTTGGAAATCTCAGTGGAAGCCTCCTTGACCCCCAAATCCCAGCATCCTGCATTCCTGCAGAACCAGCTGCCAAGATCAGCCACAATCTCAAGAGGAGCCAAGCATCCAGGGGCCCTGGCTGCTGCGGTCTCTGAGTGCCTGAATGGCTGAGCATGATCAAACAGCTTTCTAGGCAGCCCCGTGCAAGCAGGGTGCCCCAATGCTCTCCTCTCAAAAGAATGTTTGAGCCTCAGATGGGTGTGATCTTGCCAGTTCCTGAGGTGCCCTCCAGCCTTCTGTCCTAGTGTCTCTGTGTAACTTAGCATCTCTTTAGTGACTCCGTCTTTAACGACTGCAACTACCTTAGTCCCAGTTTTAGTCCCACTTTTCAAGTCCAAGTTTTTCAAATCTTTCTGCTCTGCTTTCTGCTCCTGACTATCACAATAAATGGGATTATTTTCAGGGTCCAGAAGAAATTTGAAAAAAGATCCACTCTTAGATGCATAGTAGCTTAATATCAGAACTAAAGAATCAAGAGAAAAACATTCTGAAAGCATCCCACTAGTCCAGAATTAACATTATACTGAGTGAAGAAAAACTGGAAGCTTCCTTTCTGAGATCTGGGGCAAGACAAGGATGCCTACTTTCACCACTTTTATTCACATAGTACTGGAAGTCCAAGCCAAAGCAATCAGGCAAGTCAAAGAAATGCAGGGCATTCCAAATGAGAACAAGGAGGTCAAATTAACACTGTTTGCAGAGATGTGATCTTATATACATAAAACTCCAAATACTCAAAAAAAAAAACACAAACTTTTAGAACTAATTCAGTAAAGTTGCAGAATACAAAAACAGCCTACAAAAAACCAGTAGCATTATTATACACCAATAGCAAATTATCTGAAAAAGAAATCAAGAAAGCAACCTCATTTACAATGGCTGAAAAAAATGAATAAATAAACTGACAGTGAATATATTTAACCAAAGAGGTGAAAGATTGATGCAATATAAAGCATAAAACTTTTGTAAAAGAAGTTAAAAAGGATACTAAAAAAATATGGGAAAACATCCCTTGTTCAACATTTGGAAGAATAAATACTGTTTAAGATGTCTTCAGTACCCACATCACCCTACAGATTCAATGCAATCCTTATCAAAGTGCCAATGACATTCTTTACAAAAATAGGAAAAAAAAATCCTAAAATTTATATGGATTCCCCTCCCCAAAGAGTCCAGTATTCAAAGCCATCATGAACAAAAAACAAAGCTAGAGGTATCACATTACCTGACTTAAAAACATACCACAAAAGCTAGTAATCAAAAGTGGAACCACTCAGGAAAGCAGTATGGAGACCCCTCAAAAACAAAAAACAACCTAGGAACAGGACCACTCTATGACCCAGCGTCAGTATTTACCCCAGAGAACTCAACGCAGCCTACTGTAGTGACACAGCCACCTCAGTGTTTAGAGCAGCACAGTTCACAATAGCCAAATTATGGAACCAACCCAGATGCCCATCAACAGATGAACGGACCAAGGAAATGTGGGCCACTACCCCATGGACTTTTACCCCACCATCAAGAAGAAGGACATGGTGGCATTTATCAGGAAATGAGTGGAAATGGAGAAAATCATGCTAAGTGAAATAAGCCAGGCTGAGAAAGTCAAGGGT